GAAGAGCGGATACAGAGCGGCGGATTTTGAGAGTTCTCGACCATCCCTTTCTCCCCACTCTCTTTGCTGATTTCGACGCCTCCCCACACTACTCCTGTGTAGTAATGGAGTATTGTAGCGGTGGTGATCTCCATTCTCTCCGTCATCATCAACCCGGCCGCCGATTCCCCTTCCTCTGGGCCAGGTTTCCATCCCTCTTTCTGGAGAAAAAAAAATAATAAAAATGCCTCCTTTTTGGCACATCTACCTAACGGCTTAATAATTTTAGTTATAACTGCTGTCTTCCTCAGGTTCTATGCGGCGGAGGTTCTCCTCGCCATCGAATATCTTCACATGCTCGGAATCGTTTACAGAGATCTGAAACCAGAGAACATCCTCATTCGATCCGACGGCCACATTATGCTATCCGACTTCGATCTCTCCCTCGAATCATCCTCCTCCCCAGCCGTCGAGCACATCGAAGCCGACCCCGCCGCCACCGGCCCGGCTCTTCCGGCGAAGAGTTGCCGCCAGACGAGCGGCGCAGCCTTGCCGGAGGTTTGTCGCCGAGCCGGTGGAAGCACGGTCAAACTCATTCGTCGGGACCCACGAATACGTGGCGCCTGAGGTAGCAGCCGGCGGGCCCCACGGAAATGCCGTCGATTGGTGGGCCTACGGTGTCTTCCTCTACGAGCTTCTCTACGGGCGGACGCCATTTGCGGGTCCCACAAATGAGGTCACGCTCCGGAATATTCTCAAGCAGCAGCTGGTCTTTCCAAAGCCGGCGGCCGCTGCCATCGCCGCCGACGAGTCCGCCGCTCGCGACCTCATTTCCGGCCTCCTGAAAAAGGATCCCTCCACACGGCTCGGCTCCAGACGCGGCGCCGCCGACGTGAAGACGCATAAATTCTTCAAAGGACTCAATTTCGCGCTCCTCCGCTCCTATCCGCCGCCGATCATGCCGGGCTTGCGCCGATCAGATTCCTGCAAGCAGAACCAGAGGCCCGCCCGATTTGACTATTTCTGAAATCTTTATTTTGGTGTCGACACGTGGCTCGCAGCGAGACGTCGATCATCTACGAAATTTGAAGATTCTCGTTTGTCCGTAGCTATCTACAAATGCACGTTTTTGTATGGAGGTGTTGGAACTTGTTAAGATTATTTAAGAATATGAAGGTACATAAAAGACTGCTAATGGCTTAAGTAATTCTTAAACAGGATTAGGTGGCGCTTTGGCATGATAAACAAAGTTATTAATGGACGTTAATCTGTACGGAGTGGTGACGTGTCTCGCTTTAATTCTGTGGCTTTTAATCAAAGTCAAGTGGGTCGTACGATCTGAGCCGTTTATCAAGGGAACGTAAGTCGGACCGCAGGCTCGCCATGTGCGCCCTAACGTGCTCGTAGGCGGCTATGGTTCTGTTGGGTACCCGCGCAAAACGTCGGGCGTGGATTGATCGGACGCGAGATGTGCGGTGGTGGAGGCGGGTGGGTCGAAGGGTGAGAATGAAACGGGTTCTTCTGAATAAAAAATAGATTTGGGATTAATTGGGCAAGCAAACCGTTACGTGTATTAACAAAAAATATATATTTATAATTTACTTATAATTCTTTTTTTCAAGAAGTGCTCTCTTTAAAAATTAAAATAGAATATTAACAAAAGAATTATTAATTTAATTTAATATTATATAATGAAAATATATGTTTGTTGCTATATTTGTGTGATGGTAGTCATTGTACTAAAATTCATAATACATATGATTAAAAGAAGCGTTGATAGAGGGGATTCAATATGTTTTTACATAGACATTTTGAAAGAAAAAAAATTTATGAGGCTTAGTCTAGTTAAAGAGGTTTCACAATTCAAATGTATGCTTCAAAATTGTCTTGCCATTGAACCACAAAACATAATGATACAAGATTTAGAAAAAAATGTGTTGCGATAATGGAAGATTGACAGAAGGGGGTGTGCGGCAATTCTTGATTCGTTGTCATTGATGGAGGTGTCTATTGGGCAACAGGGACCATAAACAGTAGTTGCAATAGCCATTCGACAATGGCTTGACGATGGTGATTTAATAATAATAGTGTATTGTGATGGCAATGTTAATGACTGTGTATTGTGATGACGATGTTGGCCAAGTAAAGGTGATCCCGTGATAGCAGTGATATTGGCCGAGCATTGGTGACTGCTTGTCAAATGTTGTTCAGTGTAACGACGACTGTGGTTAGGGGATGATTCGATGACGACAATGATGCATGATTCGATGATGACAATGATGTACCACAAGAGCGATGGCGATTCGACGGTCGTGCTCTAGCATAAGATGATGACCCGACATTATGATGGTCCGGAGAGGATGATAAGGCGATGACAATGGCATACCATAACAGAGGTGGTGGAACGTCATTAATCCAACATAATAATGGCTGAGAGATCATGATCCAGTGATGATGGTGGTATTCTGGTGATGATGACCTAACTGCGTCTCAACGATAGTTTGATGGTGGCTCAATGTCGATTGAGTGTGTCGGCACTATTTTTGGTGTGGGGTTTGCCCGTAAGAAGCTGTCGGCTATCGGAATTGAAATCCCGTTGCCTGCTTCGGAAGGA